AGCCTTGTGCCGGGGGTTCTGCAGTTTCGTGAGTGAAACTGTTTCTCCACAGACCTCAGTGCAGTGGAGCACTGATCTCTGTGCTCGCTGGCTGCGGTAGCCTTCAGAGACGCTATGTTGTATAGCGGGGGTATCAAATAGCTGAGCTTAGAAACGTTGTTGGTACTGCATTAAACGATGCTCTAATCGAGCAGGGTGAATTGTAAGCTAATAATGGCATAAAAGCAGGCTCTTCCTGAAAAATCTCTGTCAGATGGAATTGCTATGCATTGTGTTGATGCTATTAGGAATTACACTCTAATAAGAGGAATTACACTCTAATAAGTAATTTCTGTATACATTTAAAAAAATCAGATCTGACCAAACCCTGCCCATACCAGTTGTCTGCTTGTTTCCAAGCCTAGCCACGAACAAGAGTTTTACTTTTCCTGATCTACTTCAAAAGCATGTTGACAGTTGAAGACAGTCAGTTGTAAGCTCCTGTATTATCATAGTCTCACAAGCGTAGTGTAAGTAAACAGGGTAAGCATTATAGGCTATTAGTCATTAAATTGTAGATGTCAATGCTAAAATCTGTTGCTGTTGAATGTAGAGCTTTTTTCTTCCATGGAAGAGAAGAAAAATGGATAGAAAGTTCCACTCTTTTGTGTATTGTTTCGGAATCCCGTTTCGTAATTAAACTTAAATTAAGCAGTGTCACTGTTCTAGTGATGCTTCTCCTCCATGTGATGCTCTCTCACTCCCCAATACCTGTGCATATTTTTAATCAAGGTGATGTTGTAACTTCTTTTTTAAAAGCTGGCATAAAATAAATAATACTTCTAATTCTGTGTAGAAATATACACAGTATCATGGTAGTATGAATGTGTTTTTTGCAGTGCACTTAAAAATTACATGACTGTGTTATGTTAATAAACTTATTTGTTTTAGGCACCTCCAAAAGCCATACCAAAGACTATTGAAAATCAGAGAGTGTATGATGAAACAACTGTGGATCCCAATGATGAAGAGGTAACTGCTTCATTTCTGCATATGCAGAAGGGACATAAAATGGATTGATGAAACCTAACATTCACCACTCTCCTGTTAAGGTGTCAATTAATTACTTTTTACCTGTGATCGTTCGCTAACAGGTCATGTCATTCTTTCATTATGTATATTAGATAATTGCCTTTTGCATTACTGCTGTTGATACTAAAACCTGCCAATGTTCATCACACTGGATTCTTAAAAATGTAAAACCCACATGCCTTGTGATGATTAATTATAGGGTAGATCTTGTGAATTGAAATTTTTCCTACTAAATTCAGTTTCATCACAATTTAGATCAGATTGAACAATTGTTCTTCAATTGTTTCATGTATAGTGGATTAATAAGACTTTTCTTCTTCCAGGTTGCTTTTGATGAAGCAACTGATGAATTTGCACCATACTTCAACAGGCAGACAGTTCCCAAGATTCTTATTACGACATCAGACAGACCTCGTGGGGTACGTATGTTTTACTTGGAGAGTTCTCAGTAATCAACTGGTTATAAGATACCAAGGTTTTCATACTATGATTGGTAAATTAAAGCTGAAAACAATAGCTTTCACATGGATTTTTTTTTCCTGCTGTTTTATTTGGTGACTATCAATAACCTTGTACATGTATGTAATCTATTAGTTTCTCTAGCACTGTTTGTTTCCTTCATAAGAAAAAAGCACCTCATGCATATGTTCGTGTATGCAAGTGATCTGCATTACCTGAGTGGGAGATTACTGACATTGGTGAAAACCATAAAAGAAGTGGTTTTAAAAATAGGAACAAGCACACCTCAAAGTTTATCTGGAAACTCAGACTTTAGTACCTGAAGTAATAGTTATATTGTCTTTTGAAATGTTATGAACTTTTTGTAGACCAATGCCCTAAATAATGAGTTTGGAGGTTATGCTTTTGGAATTTTCCTGCTTTTCTGCGACTGAGGGAGGCAAAAAAAAATAGTTCAAAAAAATTTAAAAAGTCCCTGGTGTGCTGCAGTTTTTACTGCAAATAATTATTTTTTTTTTTCCACTGACTGAATGAAGTAACTTAACTTGTCTTCAAATGTTTTATAGAGATACTGGAAGTAATACGTCATCAGGGAGGGCCGTTGGAATGAGCAGCCCTCCATTCCCCTAATATTTGGATTTGGCACTCTATTCACCACATTGCAATTCACCTGTTTTGCAGAGAACAGTGAGATTCTGTGAACAACTGTCTACTGTTATACCTAACTCACATGTCTACTATCGAAGAGGGCTGGCTTTGAAAAGAATTATTCCACAGTGTATTGCAAGGGACTTCACGGATTTAATAGTCATTAATGAAGATCGCAAAATACCAAGTATCCTTTTGTGTATTTATTAAAATAGATATACTAGCTCCAGGCCT